TGTCTTTTTGCAGGAAGTTGAGTTCTTGACGTCTTCGATAGGTCAGCTCAAAGTTGTCCAGACCAAGTATGTTGAGGCAAAAGATAGCTTGAATGTCCTAAACAAAAACAATAAAGGTGAGTAATAATTTTAACTTCTGACAGCCTACCTCTGGTAGATTGAAAAACATGTTTATCTCAAGACTCAAGAGGCGTGAAACTGACTATATCGGCAATAACTCGTATTATTATATCTTAGATGCACCGGTATTCAAATGAAATGCAAGTAGCAGCTACTACCCTGTTTATTTACTTCCCCTTTTAACCAACCAGTTAACTGATAAATGTTATGTAGTGAGAGTGAGGAGCAGGTTGAAGACAGCCTAGAGAGGTTTGAAAGTCAGCACAAGTGTTGAATGAATGCCATGTTGATGTCAGAGTAGAAAGGTCAGACTGCTTTGAGTTGATGGAAGAACAACAGCAACTCAAATAACCACTCTTAATAACTAAGGTCTAAGACATTCATCGGACGTCCTCTATGAAAAATCAACTACACATCCTGGATTATAGTGTACATGACTAAATTTTGTGGCTATTACCCCTTTCGCAGTTTCAACAAAAAAAAAAAGCAAGAGCAAAACACAGAAGGGCTGAGGCGCTGATCTGAGCTCATATGCACTGTAATGATATAACCAGTCATCACATTAAAAACGACACTTGTTACAACCTTATTAGTTCTTATGACACCCCCCACGACCATTTCTGGCCAAAAACAGAATTCTGCTTTTTCAGTAATGTTTGCTGGAAATCTGTGGCTTAATTTGATTTATTATTACCTCCTCCTTTCTCCTCTCTCATATAGGAAAAGAACTCCTTGTGCCTCTTACCAGTTCTGTATCCTTTTTTTTGCACTGGACAGTAAGTGTTTTGCTGTGTTGTATGATGTGCTTTAAATTACGTCATGGTTATCTTGAGCTATGCATGTTTGTCCTTGACATTCCTGTTACTCAGATGTATGTCCCTGGGACATTAAATGATGTGGAACACGTTTTAGTGGATGTGGGGACAGGATACTATGTTGAAAAGGTAAAAAAAAAAAAAATTTGCAATTTGAAAATCCATGAATGGATTATAATGAAACAAAATGTTTAAATGTGTTTGAGTTGTGTTGAGATTTCTCCTTTATGTCTCTGCAGAACGTGGAAGACTCGAAGGCATTCTTTAAGCGCAAAATAGACTTCCTCACAAAGCAGATAGAGAAAATTCAGCCGGCCCTACAGGAAAAACATGCCATGAAACAAGGTAATTTCCTTATCTCGGTGCACCATCATACAATGTGACATTATACTGGTTTTAAGCACTGTATGAGTCAGAATTCTGGCTGGGTTGAAGAGGGACGAAATACTTATTTTATTCAATGACATGCATGTTTCTGGACTTTTTATTTTTTTCTTCAATTAAAATGAAATTATCCTAAAAATTAGACGACAGCAATTATGATTATTTTCATCACATTAATGTCGACTCTTTTTGAATGGATTGAACCTCAGTCTTGAAACTTTACCTTTACCTTTTGATCTCATCGGCAAAGCTTCATGTGTGTATCTTGCAGAGTTGTGATACAGTTGTGGTGACAGATTGTGCCAAATAACAACCAAATTACTCATAGTGCCTTTGCAGTTGTTTCCCGTACAGAAGGTGTCTTCATAAACACATTTTATCATCATTGACAAAAACACAGACTTACAAGGTGAAGATGATATCAGCTGAAAATCCATGTCCACTCATGTGATGAACCGCGTTGGATAATAAGTTTGCAATGCAACATAACTCCCCCACATCTTCACTGTGTCTGTGCCAGGCATCATACTTGTCCTCACTTTGTTTTGTTTTTTTAGTTCGTTTAGCCTTGGCTTTTTTACAGTACAGTTTTTGTTTTATACACTAAAGAGTAGTAAACTAAATACTTAAGTATCTTTCAGCATAGCTAGCTAATATGAATTTTGATGAATTAACCTATGAAGATGACATTTGATGACCTCACCTGTACCCTCAACCTAGTACACTAATGCTGGGTGATTTAACCCATGTGTAAGTTATATAAAACAGCATGTTAGTGTTGTTGGGTTAGTAACGACTTTACACCTTGGCATTTATCAATGAAGATGTGGTTCAACAACCATTAGAACAGTATTCGGGTTTATCCAGGGGTAACTAGGGGCAGAAACCCCCTCACTAACTTTTGATTCAAACACACTCATTTTGTTCTAATAGTCAGGAATTAAATATGACAGAAACCACTCAGAAAAGAGCTTCAAGGGTTATTCTGAGTAAGCTATGAAGGGTAATAGAGCTAAAATACAATAAAAGTCGTTCATCAAATCACCTGAGTGAATAGTTCAAATGTGAAGAAAAGCAATGTTTTCAGCCTCTCCCATCCAACAGGAACAGCATGCTAAATTAAGAAACAGCTCAACTGAAAGTCATTTGTACGCTTATGAACTGCTCAGTCTTTAAATTTCGCACATTTCCTGCCCCCCCTACTGTCTGTATTGCAATGGAATTCCTGCACTACGCAGGGGTTAGTCTAAGGAGGGGCCAAATGTCACTTTAGTGACTATTCTTTGGGATTTGGATAATATAAATTATTAATCTAGCAAGGATTTTATGTATATTCTTATTGTTTAAACTAGCAATATATAAAGAAACTAAATGTTTTTTCTGGGACAGCAAATGTTTGATCAGTGGACTTATGAACCATGACTGTTTTTTCTTTTGTTTTTTGTTTTTTTTTATGAAGCCATGTGTTGAGTCTTTAACATTAAAGAATAACGGTAATTTCCAGTGTCCATGCCATTACAAAAGATGGGTATGAATGCATATCGGAAAATGTTAATGTTAATCGATAGCAGCGTTGAATTTATATTATACTTGTCTTCTTTTTTGCAGCTGTAATTGAAGTAATGAACATGAAGATCCAGCAGTTACAACAGAGCCAACAAGCCTCGCAAATGGGGACCACCAAGGCATAATAAGAACAGCTGTTTGAACTCCTTATGAGCAGGAGGATTTTTTTAGTTTGTGTTGAGAAAACATGCTTCAATCTGACGAGCACAAACCTTGTTTCAAATATATTACAAGTAGCCTGTTGTTATTGTAAAGCAGCCATATGCGCTTGGTCAATTTTAAATTAAATTGGGTGTCCAGCATGTTTGATTATTAAAGAGGTCACTGTGGATTCAATGAACATTGAAGTGTTTGTGTTATTGTGTTTATCAGTGAAAGTCAATAAGGACAGCTGTTTTGTTTGTAAGACTGAAGATTGTAAAAATGCACTACTAGACTCTACTTTGGTACTACTTACAAGACGCTGCACTCCCACTCCCATGTTTTTATTTATTCTGGTTAATTAAATTCACAGGGGCTGCGCCATCCTTTCTGACTTGTTTAGCTGGGGTTTAGAAGGGGTTGGGTTAGAATGAAGCTTGCAGGGCTTTAAAAGGCAGACAGTGATCATTGTTTCTGTGTTGCAGTGTTTCAGGTGTTAGCAGGGATTTTGATTTATTGCACAGGCTGGGTAATCAGTAATCCACTAATCACATAGTGTTGTGTAAATTGTGTTGCTTTTGAAAGACTGTGGTAAACGAACTCCCTGTAATAAGTTTGACTGAGGTAAATCTCAAAAACAGTGACCTCTACAGGACATTTTGACTGTTTCAGAGTAAACTACAGCTTCTCCCGACGGCCATGTGCTTAGGATCATGAGACTTTGACCCCTTCAGGCTGAAGGTGGGCAGGGCCATACTTAAATTGCAAGGTCACTGTAGAAGGCCACAATTGCCCTTAAAAAAAAAAAGTAATGTGACACCATTAAATAAAATTGGAACTAGCTTATTAAATGTCAAATTAAATGAACCGTTAACTTATTTATACTGATAAATTATTTCGCTTTGTAATTAATAGCACTTTTTTTAATGATCTAATTTTGTCAGTCCTCCACAGTTCTGATTTAATTTGCAGATTTAATCAGCCAAAAGTGAAATCACGTGTGCGGGTTTTATGAGAGCTGCGTTGATTCAATCGACATGATTTCATCAGTATTGTCGTGCTGGAGCAGCACTGTGTCAAGTTCCACCCACTAATTACTGTTTAGGTGAACTTCGCCCGGTAACCCAGTTTTGTCCGAACTGCATGCTGTCACAGTTCACATTTTAAAAACTCTCCTTGCTTTTACTTTTCCTACTGCGACAACACGAACTTATTGGACTGGCTCTTTCCAAAGCTAATTCAAGGCTGTTAGTACTCCGTTTCCTGAGGTCACAGATGGTTGCTATGCTGCGTTGCTGTTGCCGTGGAGGCGGAGTGCAGCCTGTCGGGACGGTCGGTTGAAGATAGAGGACGTAACTGTCACATGCTGGAGGAGAGTAGCGAAGTTTATCTGCGGGATGAGGATCTGAATGGAAGAAATTCATGAGTAAAATGGATAGTGCTTGTTAAAAAAATATAGCGAAAAAAGTTTTCGGTGTCTTAAAGATAACAGATCTCAAAGTTGTCGTGCGCGCGGACGTGCCTTTGGAACTGGAGCGCGAGCTGTCGTTTAACCGTACTGCCGCAGTTGTTGGAAGAGACGTTAATTAAACGTAGACACCAAGATCAGCAACTTCGACTTACGATATTTAATAGCAAACTTCGCACGACAATTGAACTATCGGTTCCCCGCGACTGACGAGGACCTACGGAGAAGATCAAATCAGCATGGTGAGTTTTGACGAGGCCTTGTTGCTAGCTAACGAGCAGCAACCTGTTTGCTTCCTTTCTCTCGTTTCACACACGCGTGCTGTGTGAAGTTTCTCAGATACTTGTGTGCTTTTTCTTTGATTACACTACACTTTGTCTTTACGTTTCTCATTCACCACAAGCACTTCTCTTGCATTATTTTAACATGTCAAACGCATTAGCTTAGTTTAGCAGTACGAAGTGTAGCCGGTGTCGTGTGCGGGTAAGTCGAGAGCGAGTTAGCGAAACATGGTGGTGTCACTTGTTACATATGGCAACGTTACGGTAGGACACCAACCAAAGACCCTATTCGGCAAACACGTATTTACGAACTCGTTGACTTGGTGTTGCTGCTTTACGAGTAACACTCGGTGTGCGTTTTAAAGTTGGATTACACGTGTAGTAAATATGGCACGTGATTTGTGTTAAACGTTAGCACCACTGTAGCTGAATAGCCCGTGATAAAGGTCATAGCACTATGCGACGTTCATTGTGAAAATATAAGAACACGTACAGCAGGGGTAATGATGATCGATGACAGCCATTTTAACCAGAGGGAGACTTATTTAAGCGAACTTTAAATGAACACAGTGAATATCACTTCGTGTTTGAAAGCGCTCAGGCATGTCGGTGCCATGTGCTCTTCTCGACCCTCAAAGTACTTCTAGTATTTCACTGTAAACCCAGACCTGTTGCTTTTGTAATACAGTGTTGGAAAGCAGATTGGATTGAAAATAAGATTCTAGTACTGTGTAGCTACTCTAAATATTGCACACTCGAGATTTTACAATGGATGACAGGTCAAACTGCCTTATTCGAGTCATGCTGCCTTGAGGCGGGTCTGCGCCATGTACGGGTGTATGTGAGCGACTGAGAGGCGGAACAATGGTGATAAGCAAGCCAATGAAAATTCAGCTGGCGCTTACGTGCGTATGCGTGTCAATGCTTTAGTAGTACTACTTCAGGGCTCCGGTGAATGTGTGTGAAGAGTCGACACATTTGCAAAGCTGGATTAAAGGATCGCTAATGAACAAAGTTCATCCATTGGATTGGCTCTGATGTATAATGCTAAATTAGCTTTGAATGTCTATTTAGGATCTTGACTGACCTGTCTTGTTGATTGACTTGACATATGGCACACAAATGTTTTTTGACACTTGAGACTCATCATTTAGGGGGTGGGAAAGCGCATCTGTAACCGGAAGGTCACCGATTCGTTCCCCGGGCTCTCTGTCCTAGTCGTTGTGTCCTTGGGCAAGACACTTTACCCTACCGCCTACTGGTGATGGCCAGAGGGGCCGATGGCGCGATATGGCAGCCTCGCTTCTGTCAGTCTGCCCCAGGGCAGCTGTGGCTACAACTGTAGCTTGCCTCCACCCACCAGTGTGTGAATGCGAGAGTGAATGAATAGTGGCTTTGGGTTCCTTGAAAAGCGCTGTATAAATCCAATCTATTATTATTATTATCATGACTCATTCAATTTTTTTTTTTAACTCCAGTACATATATTAAAAAAATATCAAATCAAAAATATCAATTAAGACCACAGTGCAGTAAGTACAACACTAAAGTAATCTCTTTATTCAGTAATATACATGTTTTTACACTATACAAGGCTGTACACAATCTCTCATTTTTAAAAATTACATTTACTCTTGCTACAATTCGTCCAGTCTTACTTTCACTCCACTTTGAGTGACATATTTGAATACCACTTTCTTATGATTGATGAATGTTTCTCAGAAATTAGTAACCTACCAACTGTATGCAATTATGTTAAAGTGTAATGTTTGAAGGAAAAAGCTATTTATTCTGTCTCTTTTAATGATCATGCAGGTTACCACAAAGGGAGCGGGCCTGAACCCCAATGCCAAAGTGTGGCAGGAGATTCCTGCCCAACAGAGTGAGAGTCCCGGGGAGATGGACAATGCTCCATGGCTCAATACCTGCCCTCCTCCTGCTGAAATGACCGAAGGTATGTTTGCAGGGAAGAAAAGTTAGTTCCTCTTATATGGTACTACACTAAAACCAAACGTTCTCACTTGTACAGTGTTTAAAAAAATATAAAATAAAATAAAAAAATAGGGAGTTGCTGTGTGGCAAGTATAGACATGTATAGTAAAATTATAGCCATGGTATGAGGAAATGGTTGAGGTTGCTTCTCTTGTCCATGGGAGTGTGCAGTAAATGCAAACATGACAAACCTTGTTTTGTGTATTATAGTATCAACAGTTATGACATAAATGTTGCACAGTGAGGATTGAATGAATTAAGTGTTCAGGTTCACTAAACTGAAAATTGCTGACCAAACAGTAGGACCGGAGTGCAACAAAAGTTGGTGGGTTTCTCTGTCATTTTAAGAAGACAGATATTGTGTCACTGATGCTTTGACTCATTTATACATATTGATTACTGTACCGATTGTTATCACCCATTTTTCTGTAGCCTTTTCTGCTAAAGTCTTATAATCAGATGTTTGAATTTCACTGGCAGTTGATCCACAATTTGGAGTTCACGTATTCACATGTTATTTTACATGCATGTAGTTGAACTAATTGGAAAGCTCTTGGATTAGAGTTTGCTTAGCTCTCATTTTGATGTTAAGGGCCCGCAGGGTTATAGTTTATAGCCCGTTATAGTTTCAGTGTAGTCCTCAAAAGATATATCTCCATAGGATGAAACCTTGCACTTGTAATATTTGAAATAATGAAACATTTTTAGTGAGATTGCACAAAGGTGCACTCAGTCCTGTTGTGTACTACTTTATTGAATGTGACACTTATCACTTGGCTACTGTTTTCTCTTAGATTACTCAGATGTTCCCTCTTCAGGAGGTAAAGGATACTACAGTGAAAACGTGGACAGCATTGCTGAGTATACCCCTGTGAATGACATCAGTCCGTCTGACCAGGGGTATTTAGGCTTTGACCCACAGTGCGAATCCGCCATAGATAATGCATCTGAGGTGCAGGCGATGTCCGAAGAGAGTTTGAGACAGTCTTTAAAGGAACGTCTCGAGTTCTTCTTTTCTAGGTGAGTTGTGTATAATGTTTTGTTGCCTTAATGGGACAGCAGTAATTACTGAATTTACTTTGTTTCATAACTGTAAGAAGCCATTTAACTTTTAATTGGAGTATATTCTTATATTGAGTCATTGGTGTCTGAAGTTTCTAATTTGGCTTAACTGCGGTTTTCATCTTGATTCAGCTGCACAAACAATGATTCAGGCCGATAGTGATTTAATGTTCTGAAATGTCTTAGTATTTAAACTCTGTGCTTATTGAACAAAACTTATTTTAATTTAAATTATTTTATAGTGACATGTTAAATTGGACAATGTCTAACACAAAAGTGCTTAATAAATGGCTTTCCTACACTAATGTAAATGATTTAACATCAACCCCACCACCAACCACCATCATCATTTTGGTTGTTAAAAGGTTGATGTTTGTGTTTTACTATTACTGCAAAGAAAAAGCTGTAACTCAGAGAGACCGATGTTTTGGGTATTGCAGAGAGAATCTTTCAAAGGACCTCTACTTGATATCCCAGATGGATGGTGATCAGTTTGTTCCCATTTGGACACTTGCTTGTATGGAGAACATTAAAGCTCTTACCACTGACATGGACCTCATTCTGGATGTACTGCGAGGTACAAGTGCTTCTGTTTGTCGTTGTTTCACATAGACAGGCTGATACTTTTAAAAGTTTTGAACTCTAATAGTTCTTAAACTGCTACCTGCTCCAGCTCGATCAAATATAGAAGGTTTAATGTAAGACTTTTTATTTATTAGGTAAATGCAATTACCTAGTTTACTACTTAAAGTGCCCATTGTTACTTTTTAAAAAGTAATGCATTACATACTTGAAAGAATTCATTACATTCCTTTTGTTTTACTCTTAGTGTGTGGTTAATTTACCACATAAATAAGATTATTCACAGTGTCTACCAACTTTAAACTGGCTACAGTGGAGCAAAGGTCTTTCATAGCTATTACATAAATGGGATATGTCAGTTGTCTTCAGCTGCACTGTTAAGATTTAGGAAAATCATTTTTAATTTTTTTTTTTTTTTTTTAATAAGCCTCCCCCATGGTGCAAGTTGATGAAACTGGGAAGAAGGTTCGACCAAACCACAGTCGCTGCATCATTATTCTAAGAGAAGTGCCGGAGACAACCCCAGTTGAGGTAAAGACGACTCCTACATGCTAATAAAATATTGCTCTGTAACCCCATACTGTCTGACTGAATAGTAAAATCTACAAACGAGGGCTGCAAACTGATTGTGCTTGCATAAATTGTGATAACTATTGTCAAGTCAGCTTTAGATGATTAAAATATTGTGTGGTAGTGTGTATGCTGTAGCTGAGTGATGGCTCTTTTTCTTTTCGGTCAGACTTTGCATGCTGACTTGTGGAGAGTGATGGAATGGTCTGTTTTAGGTCAAAATGTTTCATGTTGTGTTCCTCTCACAGGAAGTAGAGGCTCTTTTTAAGAGTGAACACTGCCCGAAACTGTTAAGTGTTGAGTTTGCGCACAACAGCAACTGGTACATAACTTTTCAGTCAGACATGGATGCACTACAGGTACGTCCCCTTATGAATTACCACAAGCTACTTTTACTTATTTTTAAACTGGTTGTACAATTTTTAGGTTTATACAACCAGTTAAATATTCTATTATTACCTGGCATATTTAACTTAAAATTGCTAAATCTCACTACCAAGCAGCTGCAGTACTTTCTGATCTTTTCATGTTTCACTAAGGTTCTGCATTAAAGGAAAGAGCATTTCTACCACATTTTCTTTACTGTTTTCTTTTCTTGCCTTCAGGCTTACAGATACCTAAGAGAGGAAGTTAAAATGTTCCAAGGGAAACCAATCATGGTGAGTCAGTCAGTGCTTGTTATAGATGTATGGAGCCTGCTACGCTTTGTTTTTCACTTGATAAGCAAGAATGGGGATTTTTTTTTTTTTTTTTTTTTTTTTTTTTTAGGGCTTTTAAAAAAAGTTTTTCTATCAGTGATATTTTTGCTGGACTTGGTTATGACATCGTGTGCCCTGCTCTTTTATCTGATGGAGCAAATAACACTGATTTGTTGATGGTCCTGTTTAAGCCCCAGTGATGATCAGTATCGCGCTTGGAAGGACCCATATGGACTGTGGCTGGCTGGGTGGAACCTTTCACTGGCTTTCTTAAAATCTGTCTGTTTCTATGCTGTTCCTTTCTCCCTTATTTTTCTTTTATACTCCTTCCCCTCCTCCCCCTCAACACCTTTCTTTCCTCCTAGTCGGTGCAGTTTTTATGGCCTAATGACCGTGAGATTATGAGATCTGAGGGGACTAAGGACAGTAGAGCTATATGGGTCCTGTGGAAATGTTATATCGATATTGATTCTCTCATTTTCCCTGCAGGCCCGCATTAAGGCCATTAATACATTCTTTGGCAAGAATGGCTTCTGTAGCGTCCAGGATTCAGGTGTGTACAGTCAACATGCTCCACTGCAGGCCCCATATGACTCAAGTGCTCCAGTGTACATGCAGTCGATGTACAGCCCTCAGCAGCAATACCCTGTTTATCCTATTGTGTCTCCCTCCTGGAATCCTCAGCCATCAAACATGCCTTATTTCGAAACACCGCTGGTGAGAACCTTAATATACTATTCAGAATGTCCCTTAAAGCTGCTATGTTATTTATTTTAATGTTTTTAATGCTGTTCAAATTAATGGCGGTCTCCATTGTAACTAATATTTATAACCTCTGTAAACTCAAAGTTAATATTAGAAGTATCAGAGGGTTTTTTTTTTTTTTTTTTTTTTTTTTTTTTTAGTTACATTTATAATGATTTTTTCCTGTTTGGTGATATGCAGGCACCTTTCCCCAACAGTGGATATATGAATGGTTACAGCAGTTCCGGGAACTACAAAGCTAACTCAAGCTCCGTCAACACACATGCTGCTATGACCAGGAACCGGTATGTACAGTTATGATACAAACTTTTAGTTTATTAGATCAGTGCAGACTTGAAGTTACCATCAGATAAGATAAGATAAAACTTTATTAATCCCTCGGGTGGGTTCCTCTGGGAAATTCGGTTTCCAAAAGCACAGCACCGCCCATCAGGTGCTGGCAGTGTTTGTTGTAAGCTTTAATTTAGGTAATTAAGGACTTTGAACTTGGTAAAATACTTTCTGTGGATGGTAATGCTAGCATTAACTTAAATGGAACGCAGTTTGATCTCTGGCTGGGTTTTAGTTACACTGTTCTGGGTGGGTGGGGGGGGTGGGGGCACAACTGTTTGTTAATTTTGCCATAGTTGTTGTTGGAAGCAATTCTTTGTTCAATAAAAAGACCTTGATCAAAAAAAAAAAATGGAACGCAGTTTGGTACCAGTCCTTCCGGAGTCCATTATTTTGCTTCAGGACTGAAACTTTGTTCTTTTAAAAAAAAACAAAGAAAAAAAGAGTACTGTCACTTTCCTCTGTTATTGTCATTTGCAAACCAATAAAGATGAGCTTTCTTGCATTGGTCTTGTGTTCACTCTTTGTTAATAAAACGTGTACAATCCTGTCAAACTATGCTTTTGTGGTAGCGCTTGATTTCTGTAGTAAAACTTGTAATTTTTTTGTGTGCACCTAGAAATCATTTAAAAGGTCATCCCAGGCCTGGAGATGTGCACTCTTCTTTTGCTCCAAGGAACCGGTTGGATGGTGTGTCTGGTCCACAGGTCCTGCAAACACAACAGCTGATCTCTCTGGCCTCCTTCAACCTTAAAGATGTGAGCGGGTCTGGACGGGGCAGGTGAGTTAGTGTTATCCTACACTTACCCCTGTTAACACTAAAACGGTTTCCAATCTGATGTGGCAGTCTAATGGTATGTTTGTTTGTTTTTATAGAAGAGGCCCCAATAGAAGCACAAGGAGAAAAAGGGAAGATGAGCAGGCAACGGTCAGTCGGTTTCCTCTTTTCGTGCTCTTCTTTTAAGAAGTTGACTGCCTGGACTGTGTCCTACAGTGTCTTGGTGTGCTGCTTTTTAATATATTGAATTTTATTTCTTCATTCAATGTAGAAGCCCGTCCCTGTACCGGAGGCCAAGGCATCGCATCCAAAGTTTGACCTGGCAGCCACCAATTTTCCACCTCTGCCAGGATCTGTGGTCAGTATGCAGGAGGAAAGTGTCCCTGAGATGCGCCTTTCTGATATTGTGCGTGGCCTGAAGGTGACAAACAAGGTGAATATGTTGCCTCTCCTGGTGCTTTCTATCCTTAAGACTCTTTACAAAATAAGGTAAAATATAAATCCACAAATTTTAATTGTCATTACAGTCTGTCTGCAAAGATGTTCCCACAAACATCGCAGAAGGTCCTGTAAACAAACCTGATCCTGTAATTCCACCTAAACCTGCTGTTGTGTCCACACAAACAACCACTCCACCAGTCTCAAGGTAACCTTTGCTTCAGGCTAATATATCAGTGAATAACAAAGGTATTGAGTCTTCAACAATTCACTTATCCCTTACTTTTTTTTGTATACATTTAGTGATTCTCTTGTAGTAAAGGAAGAGGATAAAACTGAAGCTCCTGTAACAAAGGAAAATGTCTCCTCATCCGCACAAGCTCACACACAATCACCTTCAGAACATGCTCCCTCCACCTGCAGCCAGGCTCTTTCTACCGAAACATCTTCATTGCCTCCCACATCTCCAACATCAGAACCAGTAAGGACTTATTTTGTGCTGCTTATCACATTATATTGTCTTGTAACATCAGCTTACAACTCTCCAAACTCAGCGTGTTTTGTCATCTTGTTGTTTTTGTTTTAATTTTTTTTAAACTGTGGTTCCCTGTTCTTTCACCAGGGTCTAAAAAAGCTCAGTTATGCAGAGGTGTGCCAGAAGCTGGCCAAAGAACCGCTGCCAGCACAGTTGCCCTCTCCCTCCACTCCCACCTCTTCAGACAGCCAACCCCTGCAAGAGCTCAAGGTAAACAGGGTGGAGGAGCCTCGTCCCAATGGCCGACAAACTGCAGAGAAACGTGGAGATAAACGGCCTCCTCGGCAACCACTGCGCTCCTTCAGAGGGGGAAGTGGCCAAGCCAGAGTCCGAGAGCCAGGGCAGAAGATTCGGGAACATCAGAAGGGCCTGAACACTGGGAAACGATTTTCACCACAGCGGGCAGCCAGACGCAGTGGCAAAGAACAGAATATCCCTCCAAGTTCACCAAAGTAACCAAAGGGTGGGGAAAAATGAACTGAAAACAGAAAAGAATATATGTACATATGTAATATATAAAGACAGATGCCTATATTTCATTTCATGAGTTTGTCACATCTATTTAGATTACTGCAGGCCTGAAATTATTTGAAAAATTAGATTTTCCTTTTCGGAAAAATGTCGTCATGGATGGAATCGCAGGGTTCGCGGTGATGAAGCATACTTTGCTGAAAGTAGTGTCATGATATGATATGAGGATGTCCATGTACATTTGTTGAATTTGTGGCATCTACATCTGTGGTTTAGAAAATATGAGCCCTTGTGTCTCTTTTTAAACATGTAATTAACAAGTAATCTGAAAAACTAGTATCTATTGTCAGTTATCCATGGACTTGACATGTTCAGCTTCAGAGTGGGTTGAACTTTTGAAAGGTAAGAGTAGCAATATTTATAGAAATGTTTGTAGACACTTGTTCTACGACTAGTGAATCTTGTCTTGAACTTATAATACTTGTTGGGTTTTGTGTTTTGCAATAATTTTCCTTTGTGGCGCAAATATTGGATCAATACCGCTAACATTGGAATAAGTGGAGCAGATCTGCTTATGTCATTTTTACTAGACTTTACAAACCTTTTTCTTTTTCATAAATTATAAATATCTAATTATTCTATCAGTGCTAATGGTTGGTGGATGTAGGCAGGAAAGTGTTTGACCAGATCTTGGTGATGTTGGCATCTGCTTTGTAAAGTACAAGTAAAAAGGGTTTGTTTTGTTTTTTTTCAGCTAACTTTGGTTTCTATTTCACAAAACCAGTGTACACTAGGATTAGGTAAATAATCCAGTTAACTAGGTCATTGTAGTAATTTGGTGTTTGTGGTTCCTTCATAGTTTCAGATTGTTGAAGTGGAACAGTCATGCTGACTCAAGTCTTCGTCAGTGAACCCTCTTTACTACTAAAATATTATGAATGGCCTGAGGGACAGGGAGCAGAAATTTTCCCCTCAATGTTGAATGTTTTCACTGCTTGATTTCAAAAGTAGCATTTTTATTGCTTGAATCACACGTGCTATGATGAATGTAGCTGTGGATCTCAAACCATTTTTTCAAATGATTTTTAACATGTATGTTTTGTGTTTGCAAATTCAGTTTTTGTTTGTCCACATGGTAGTGTATTTTGTTGTTAGCGTTGACTACATGTTATTCAGTGTTTGTAATGTTGATGAATTGGTGTGTAGACTAATTTTTATTAGCGGTTAGGTTCTGATCTGTAATGCAGCTTGTGGCTTGACAATGAATATCTTTCAGTTACAAATGACAGAAGGGTATTGGGATGGATTTTTCAACTTGTTCTTAGATTTTCTTAAATATGGTTAAAAGAGATGAGTAATTTAAGATAGAATTCAGATGTTAACAGGGAATTTACAAGACAGGCTGTACACTCTAGTAATCAGTAGTTTATACTGGATTTTTATTTATTTTATTTTATTTTTTTAAGTGTGCAGCTGACTGACACTGCTTGTGTTTTAGACTATAAGGAGTTATCAAACCAAACTCCTAGTGCCTTAATGGGATTTAATTTCATTGTAAAAATGCTGTAAACCACCTCATTTTGAGGCAACAAAAGTTTAGTTCATTCTGTAGGACTTGCCCTGTGTGCATTTTTTTTAA